TCTTCTGAAACCTGGCCTGGCGAGCCCTGCCATAGGGGGAACGCTCCAAGAGGAAACAGGTCCAAAATCTGTGTGTGTCATCTCTTGTAAGTGTAAAAATACGACACTTGAGCTGTGCCCTGGGTGCATTCTTTCAAACCAACAAGTCTTTGCGGCGTTCCCTCCTCGTCGTCTCCTTTCCCGTGGAAACGGGCCCATTTGGGGATTCACGTGGTAGATAATTGTAATGGTCCCCCCGGCCTTTAAAATCTATGAATCACTCCAGTATCTGGGCACTTTATGCACATTAGTGAATTAATCCTTACAGCCTCTCTGCAAGGGAGGGAATTATCGTTGTCATTGCTCAGATGGGAAATGGGTGAGATGGAGCCCCGATCTGCGCAAGAACTGGGGGGTCACATCACTCACCAGCAGTAACAGCTATAACCTTTGGGCACCCAGCCCTTCGGGGCACCCGTGACCCCGCATTAGTTACCTCGGCCGTTGTGCTGAGCGAACGGGGAATATCTCTCCAGCCTGCCAAGCGGCTGGAAATCCATCTGAGCCCTGTCAGCGGCGAGATGGATGGCTGGGGCGTAGGCAGCAGGTCTGCCGCAGCCGGGAAGAGCCGCGGGGACGTGCTGCTCGGATGCTGGGTGGGCTGGGATGAGTGCAGGAGGTCCAGCATCTCCCCATGGCCTTGGCCTTGCTCTCCCATGTCTTTCCCACCAGGAGGTTCCCCAAAGTGAAGGAGGTGGTTACCCCTCGCCCATGGAGGTGACAGGAGAGCAAGGCAAAGCCCTGCAGTCCTGCATCCAACTCTGGGGCATCAACACAAGAGGGATGTGGAGCTGTTGGAGTGAGGCCACAAAGATGCTGTGAGGGCTGGAGCAGCTCTGCTCTGGAACCAGGCTGGTTCAGCCTGGAGAAGAGAAGGCTCCTGAAGGGGAGACCTTAGAGCAGCTCCGGGGCCTAAAGGGGCTACAGGAAACATGGAGAGGCGCTTTGGACAGGGGCCTGTAGGGACAGGCCAAGGAGAATGGCTTTAACCTGCCAGAGGGGAAACTGAGATGAGCTCTTAGGCACAAGCTCTTCCCTGTGAGGGTGCACAACACACAGGGTGCCCAGAGAAGCTTTGGCTGCCCCATCCCTGGCAGTGTTCAAGGCCAGATTGGACACAGGGCCTTGGAGCACCCTGCTCCAGTGGAAGGGGTCCCTGGCTGTGGCAGGGGCTGGAACTGGATGAGCTTTAAGATCCCTTCCTCCCAAACCATTCCATGACTCTCTGACCCCCCCATCCCCTCATCCCCGGCTGATCACGTCACAATCATTGCTTTAGGGCATCACCACAACCGGATGGACTTTGGAAGTCAAACCTGTTGTGGCTCCTTTTAAAATGGGTGACTTTGAGCTCGGCTCATCCACACTGGAGCTCTTGGGGCGCTCACTCCCCTCTCGCGCCGCAGTTGCAGGCACGTGCCCTTTCCTTTCGTTTCCCCCTGTTTTCCAGGTGTTTCAACCATGTCAGGCAGCTCCGTGGTGTCCGTGCCCAGAGTTAACACCCACCGTGCTGGGTTTAAGGTTGGAGCAGCGTCTGTGTTAACGACAGCTGATTAATTCAGCTGTGCAATGAGCCTGATGGAGATGGATTTGGCTCCTCGCCCCTTTCAGTTCTGCTCCGTACCCCAGCTTGTGCTTTCAGTGCGGTAAAGTCTTCTCTTTACAACCAGGCAGCCGTGGAACAGCGTGTGCTGTTGTAGCCTACACCCGGTCTCTATTAAAACCGCCTCTTGGCTGCATGGCTGGCCCAGGGTGTTTATGTGCTCTGCAAATGACTGTCAAGGTTAAAAAATAGCTGTGCTGGAGCTGCCGAAAGAGGCAGCGAGCGCCGGGGCTCGGCGTGGCCGTGGGCTTGGATGCGGTGGCTTCGACCCTCCTCCTGCAGCAGAGCCGGTTGGAAGCTGTGCAAAAAGCAAGGCAAAACCCCTCGCAAGCCCTGGTTCCTCCCGTTGTGCTTATTAAAGGCATGGAAAAAATCTCAGCCTGCCGAAACGCGTCGGCCTCCTGCGTTTCTTCTCTGGCTCTTGCTCTAACGGCGGTGGTGCGTTGGTCCAGCTGGAAGGGTTGTGTCCTATTAAATAAAGCTTTTGAAGGGAGCACGTTTATTGATGGGGCTGTCACAGCCTGTTTGAGTGAGGAATGTGGAGTGGCCAGCTTTAGGCTGCCTCGAGTCTCTTTTCTCCCAAAAGCTGTTACAGTCTCTGGGGTAAATAAACCCAACCCTGTGCTTCCCAAAACCCCCACATGCCATCCGAAGGGAGAGAAAAGCAGGACTCGGGGCGGTGGGTGGTGTTGAAACTCAGGTTTTACTCAGCCCTGGGTGTGAAGCCCTTTGATTTTTCGTTATCCCAAAGAGTTCATAGTCTACCTCTTCCTTTTAATTCCGACACCCGCAGAATAGCGGGCTGAAATAACACTGCTGGATGGCAGCTGCTGATGGAAGGAGATTAAATATTAAAGCCAATGCTGTGGCTTTAACTCATTCCATTTCCCCCCCCCCCTTCTCCCTCCTCTTCCCCCCTTTCTCCCCCCGCTTTCGTTCTCTGTGTAAAATGACATGATTTAGAACTGAAGTGCCAGACTCAGCCTCTAGGTTTCGGCGTTTGGAAATGTATGTGGAAAGATATATTGTGTCTGTGAGCATTTCTGTGCAGGGAAAAAGAGAGCTCCCCAGCCTGCAAGACCACATAAAGATGTTAAATAGAGCTGTAACACGCACCGAAAGCAGGGAAAGTGCCCTAGAAAAAATAAAAAGGGGGGGGGGGAGGGAAGGATAAAGAAAAAAAGGCAGCAGTGGAGCAAAATGAAACATTAAAATAAATTCAGGTATAGCAAAGCTGGGCTGAACCGTGCCCATGGTGGAGCCGGGGAGGGAAATGAGACCCCGTTCTCTGCCTCTTCCTTGTGCCACTTCCCGCATTGACCTAAGAATCTTGGGTCTAAACCAGAAGTGGGGATTTTCTTCCTTTTCCTTGTTCCCCTGGCTCAGGGTGCTCCGTATTCCGGGAGCAGCAGCCTCCTGCCTGCTCTGTATTCATCTGGAACCAGCTGCTCCTTGCTCCTCACCAAAACCCTGATTTATCTTTCTCTGCTTACCGTAACCCACCTATTCTCTTGTCATCGCAAGGGCGAGCGGGGATGGCAGCCGAGCCCCTTAAAAACCTGAGGTGCTTTCGGGGCTAGAAACATGACCAAGTGTCAGTGCCCCCCCTTTTCCCTCCCTGTGTCCCCCCCTTCTCCTTTTCCCCAAGAGCAATGCAAAACAATGCTGCAGATTTGGTCTTTTCCCATTGGGAAAAGGACGGCGGCGCTTCGCTCGCTTCTCCTTTGTTTGGGGATGCTTTGGAATGGCCGGGATTTGTAGCGCTGGTTGGAATGGAGGCTGTGTTTGGAGCAGAGCTGAGGGGTTTGGGGAGCTGCAGGGAATAAAGAAACCCAGGGCATGTGTGTCTTTAACAAAGCCATTAATAAATCGTAGTTAAGGTTTAGATGCGGACCGGGTCTGGGAGCAGCAGTGGGAAAGCTGCAGCGTGCCCACCTGGAATTACACAGCCAAAACCTCTTCTTCCTGCAACACCATTAGGACCCACGAGCTCTGAATTTGTGTTAACTTGAGCCCCGGTGACGAGTCATCACCAAAAGCACCTTCTCCTATAGCATGTTTGAAGGACGCTTTGATAACACCCTTATTGCACCGAAGGGGAAGATGGATGGGACGTGTGCGGATGCGCCCGTTGTCTCGGCATTGCTGTTCCTTCCCTCCACTAACATCCCTGCTATGTCACACAGCTCCCAGGAAGGCACCGTGGCAGCTTCCAAGCCTGGAAAACAGGGATTTGCTTAATAAAGGCAAATAAATCTGAGTTGTAAATAAGCATCAGCGAGAGCGAGCGCACCCGGGGCGTGATGCTCGAGCTGATTCACCGACACAGGTGGCTTTGGGTTGGGGTTGTTTGTTGGATGCTTTAAAGAGACTCACGCAATCAGGAGGCTTGGAAGGGAACTTAAAGATCATCTGAAAGACAAAAGGAAGGGGGAAAAGGGCAGGAATGTTTCACTGCAGCAGCAGCAGCTCTTTCTAGAAACGAGCCCGATGCCGCGCGGCTCCGGGATGCATAAAAATCCTGCGGTACGGCCCGAGCTGTGCCCTCAGCTCCCGCTTTGTCGCAGTCTATTAGGAGAGGCGCAATCCATCCTCGGGTCTTTATGATGATTTGCTTTAACCCCATCCCTGCCTCACCCCTTCCCCTGCCCTTTCCTTGATCCCGATGCTTGGGGCTGGTGCAGCCGTTCAAAGCAGCCCCGCAACGGATGATGCTGCCCTTTTGTCTGGGTATCAGCCCCGCGCACTCGGCTCCCCGACCTAACGCTGTCACGGGTGGGTTTTTATCCTGCAATTCAGGTGGAATTTCAGATGGAGTCTTTATGCTGCATCCCCCCTCTCCATGTTCCACAGTGGCCGTGCTTCGGCTGCGCCATCGGCAAGCTGCACGGCGGGCATCTCGCTCCATCCTGCTCCATAAAGCCACAGCCTGGATGAGTGGGCAGGTGCCAGCTTTGCCACATACCATCCCAAAATCATTCCCTAACAGCCCCTAATTCATCCCTCCATTGGGCAGCAATAAAGGGGAGCCTCTCACCGAGTGAGCGGGGCGGGTTTACATCTCCGACATCGGTTGCAATGCTTAGCAAAATGTATTATCATCATCATTACTATTAGTATTAACAACAGTATTTGTCCCTCATCACCCAGAAGCCCCATGGAATGGCATTTTCCTTCCACACCCCACTTCCCACCCAACATGTCCCTCTCTGGTTTGGCTTTAACACTTGGCAGTGACTGCGTTACCGTTGCTCTCCGGGCGACTTTCCCTTCCTCCCCCTTCCCCATCCTCCTGCAGGATGTACCCGTTAAAGCCCCCCTGCATTTCTTCACCCCTCTCTCAATGGTTTCATTGCAGAGGTTTACAAACGAAGACCACCTGGCTGTTCATAAACACAAGCATGAGATGACATTGAAATTCGGCCCCGCTCGGACCGACTCAGTCATCATCGCAGGTATGCGGCGCTCCGAGCCAGGCCAGCGCGGGAAATGGGGCACATTAATACAGCATGACTGCAAGATTAATACCAGGGACCAGATGCACTGCAAAACGGCTCTACCTCCCATAAAACCCTCTTGTGATCTGCATTTAATCAGGAGGAAAGGAAAGCCAGAGGCTTCCAAGTTGCTATTTTTTTCCCTTTTTTATGGCAGTATCAGGTTTTGTGGGGTTTGGGCTCTTTTTTTTTTTCCCCTCCTCCTCCTCCTCCTCTTTTTTTTTTTTCTAGCTCTCACCCTTTTTTATTAAGACTGGAAGATTTATGGCCAAAAGGGCTTTCACGTTCCTGCGTGTGCTTTGAGGACGAGGAGCACAAGCTGACAAACTCAGCTTCCTCTCCTCAGCCCAGGTGTCAATTTTGGTGAGCTTTTAGGCTAGCAGTTAATAAATTAAAGCACCATTGAGCGCACCAGTTTGTGCCTTTGCAGAGCCCAAATGAGGAGCTCCTGCAGCACGGGGTCAATGCAGTTTGGGAGAACAAAAGCACACCCCCCCCCATATATTGCTGTCTGGCAGCAGATCATTGCTGGTTACAGATACCCGCCTGCCTTGTCAGGCCCTGTTCAGTCAGGCTGCTTAGAAGGTTTGTGTTACCCCTGGCTGGAAAGGCTGTTGCTGAGAACAAGAAGAGAGGAGGAAATGCTTTGTGAAGCCTTCAGAGTTCAGAAGGGGAAATGGAGCTGAAGAGCCTGGCATCCTTTCCCTATCTCCAGCCCCACTTTGGTGTTGGAGCAGGAAACAGCAATTCAGTTGGTTCCGTAAAGCCTTCAACTTAATTGTAGCTGCAGGTAGGATCGTAGGAGAGCTGCTGCAGGCTTTGCTAGAAGGGCACAAAGCTTCCCCTTGGAGAGGCAGAGCAGGCTCCCGGAGGGAGATTTGGTTACAAGTGGGATCAGGCTCTTGGGAATGGATGGTGAAGAATTTGGGGCAGGGGCTGAAAGAACTCTCACATTCCTAAAGATGCTTTTAGCTTCAGTTCCCCCCCTTTCTAAACAGGGTTCACAGCTATTGCTTGCTCAATGCAGGGTGTAGCTTGGGCAGGTGGTGATGGGGGAGCAGGAACAGGGGATGGTCCCATCTCCAGCCAAAATCCCACCTGCTCCAACAGGGAGACAGCATTAAAATGATAGAATGGGTTGGGTTGGAAAGGACCTTAAAGCTTATCTGGTTCCAACGGCCTGCCAGGTACAGGGACACCTTCCACTAGAGCAGCTTGCTCAAAACCCTCCTCTTTGCAGCCCTCAGAGCTGTAGATTAAACCACAGAGTGATTCTATGATTCTCCCAGAGCTGTAGATTCCTCCTGTGCCCAAGCTCCAGCAGGTAAAACCATGGGTGGGATGCAGGGATTCAGTTTTAGCACAAGGAACACGGTCCAGCCCCTCTCCCAGCCCCTCTTGAGCCGATGCTCAGTGGGTTGCTCAGGGCTAAACCACGAAGAACATAATAAACCCCCCCAACTTCTTTAGCTGTGGGCAGTGCAGGACCAGCCTATTTAACGCTGCCTTTCCCTGGCTGAGATCTTGACGCAGCCTGAGCAGCCTGGGGGTTGCGGGGGCTATAAAGCACGCTGGCTTTGAGCAGCGAGATCCAGGCTGTTATTGCCCTACATTCCTAATGTCCTTTCTGGTTGGCTTTTATTAAGCCACCATTTTGTCTCTGGCTTTTCTTGTTCTCTCCCTCCCTGTTGCTTTGTGCCGAGCCCAGGGCAGCCGCCTGTGCATGGATGTGCAGGAGGATTCAACGTGTGGCTCTCGCCCTGCTGAGCCTAAAGCGAGTCCTGAGGAATTGTCCTCTCTCTGCTGGTTAGAGCTGGTAGAGATTTGGGCTCTGGGCTGGTGTGTACGGCTTGGAAGGACATTGCTGAACAGGGAATGGTCCAGAAAGAGCCCGGAGAGCTGTTAAAGCCCTGGAAAAACCACCTCCTGCCGAGATCTTGAGCTGACAAAGTTTCTTGGTTTAGTGACGAGAGATGTGGGGGGGAAGCAAAGTGTGCTCGGAGGAGACCTTTGCTTTATCGACAAAGGCAAGAGGTAGGGTTTGAACAGGCTGGGGATAACGTGTAGTCCTGTGACAGCGAGGGGAAGGAATCACCGGAGTGGCTTCCCGAAGGCTCCCCACCCCTGGCTGGAAATGGAAGGCGATGTTTCCCATAGCCCCTTCAGCTCACGCATCGCTCCCGCGGCTCGCCCGGGGAGCATCCGTGCCAAGCAGCTGATGTTTTATGCAGGAGGTCAGGCTAAACGATGCCAGGGATCCCCTTTGTGCTTCCGAATCCATGTGCTTCTGCTGCCAGATGGATTCTGTCGGTGCCGTGTGCTCGTGCTGGGTTCCCACTGGTACCTGGACTCCTGACCTAACGTCATGCGTGCAGCACGAGGCTCACCGGGAGCGGGGCCATTGCTTCCTGCTTTATAGCCTGGGTGATGGCCAGAGAGATCATGACTCAACGTGTTAATCTGGTGGAAAACGGGCCCCAGAGGGATGGCTTTGGACAGGGTGGTAACGATCAGCACTCCCACGGAGCCGCCTGTCCGAGGATGGGATTAATGCGTGGAGACAGCACGGGGAGGGAAGCGGCTCTTCCCGGCTCTATTCCATACACTGGAGCTGCTCCAGTCAGCTGTTTCCCTTCTCATCACTCTCTATTTGTAAGATCTGCTGTTTCAGGGAGATGAAACCTCACTGATTTCCTTCCTCGCAGCAGCAATTCAGCTGAGGACAGGCGAAAGCCCGGGATGGGAGGGACAACACACGAGCCACAGGCTGGGAATTCTGCAGCAATCACTGCCTGCGATGGTTATTTAGTACCAGAGAGACACAATCAATAAGGAATGAGTTCCCCCTTTCTGAATCGTCACTTAAGACACACACCTTAGCAGAAGAGCACCCAGGCTTCCACAACACCCCATATTCTGGGGGTCCCCAGAGGGGATTAGGGTGGTTCAGGATGTGTTTTCTCCCCTCTCTCTGACTGATGCTTGGTGTTACAACCCCAAACAGATCAGACTCCGACCCCGACTCGGTTCTTGAAGAACTGTGAAGAAGTGGGACTCTTCAATGAACTGGCCAGCTCCTTTGAGCACGAGTTCAAGAAAGCTGCAGAGGATGATGAGAAAAAGGCAAGAGGCAAAGGCCACTGTTGTGATAAAACAGAGCTTGGTGCATGTTGTGAGGGCTGGAGGGGGGACAGTGCTGCTCTGGTGAAAGGCATCAGAGGGTGTTGGAGTGTTGGAGGTGTAACAGAGGCTGTTGGAGGGTAACTTAGGGTCGTCTAGGATTTAATATGGAACTTCATTATTTGAACTCAGGTGACTTTGGCTGGTTATCCTGCGATCCGAGGCCTGGTGTGAGGGGATTTCGATGGTTTATTACCCCTTTGGTCTTTCACGTCAACATCACCCCCCCCAGAAAGCCAAGACAGTGCCCAGCATACCTTGCACCTTGAGAAGGAGGTGCAGGAAAAGAGCCAAGACTCTGCTAAGCAGCAAAAATTCACTCTGAGCTTCCTTTGGGATGGAGATGCTGAAGGCTGATGCCTTTAAGGTGCAGTCGGCAGGGATCAGCTCAGCTGTGCGCCTTTAGCATGTGAAGGGATGCAAACAGAGCAGGGGCTCCATGGAGGAGAGAGGCTGCTCCTAACAAAGAGCTCCTTCCTACGCAAGGTGGTATCGATTCAGGCTGCCCCTGCCAACCTGGGGAGCGCGGGGAGGGGGGTGAAGGACAAGGGGATCTCATCGGATAGCAGCTCATTAAGGCCATTTCCCCCTCCCTTTCGCAGGAGCTGAGGAGCAGCAGATGCGTGGTGGGCTCTTAGGCTGGCACATACATTTACTAAATTGATCTATGGGCGTCCATACGCTCGCAGTCAGCGGCGCTGCTCGGAAATAAACTGCAGGAGCAGAAGCCGCGTAAATCTTCCCTCCGATGGGCAACGGAGGAATTCAGAATTAAACCTGAAAACTGTCTTTCAGCCTCGCTCCTAATAACAGGGCTCTTTAAAGCAGAAATTGATCTCTCTCATTGGTATGCTGCAAGGGCCTCCGCGGCGCGGCGCGGCTCTGACTTCCCTGCCTTTTGTTCTCGGCTCCGTGCAGGGGAGAAGGTGGCTTTTTGCTTGTGGTTTCCCATCGAAACGGTTGAGCAGCCCACAGTCTAGCCAGCTGGTTTCAAAGTCAGACCACCCATCTCCTAAGCCCTGCTACCCAAGAGCTGCAGCTGAGACCCTTGAGCTGTTCGCTGTTCCCTGGCTTTCGCTTCAGGATGCCTGCAGTCGAAATATCTCTGCCTTGCAGCCAGGCAGAGGGGGGTGTTGTGAAGCTTGGGGTGGTTTCAGGCATTAGGGAAGGCATTTTCCCTCCTAGAAAACCTCTGCAGAGGCGAGGTCCCCCAGCCCAGATGGCTTGTCACTCAGCAAACCTGGCCAGAGCTGCCTGCTGCATTTCTGAGATGCTTTCAACCGTTTGGCCGCATGGAGCCCTTGTTGCTGCTGCTGTTTGTGTTTTGTCCTCCCGTTCCAAGGGTGGTCTCGACACCAGCATGTTAATTAAAAACATAGACACAGCAGGAGCTTCCCTGGAGGCACTTTAAGTGGTTTGAAACTTTCCTGCATGTTAATCCCTTCTCCTTTGTGATTCCCAGTGCTTAAAGAGGGCAGGTAAATGGTTACTGCACCTACCGCAAGCAAAGCCCCTGCATAAATCAGTGCACCCCACTCCGAGCATCAGGCACATCCACAGATGCCTGGATTTACCCTCTTTGCTGCAGTTTTCCCTCCCTGGAGAGGACTTAAAATGCAGCAAAGGAGGAGGTTTAGGTTGGATGCTCGGACGAGCTGTCAGCGGTCGGGGCGAGTGAAGGAAAGCGCTGGGATTGATTGTGGAGGGAGGGAGACCAGGTTGGACAAACAGCTGTCAGGAATGATTTAGGAAGAGTTTCTCCTGGCCCGGATGGAAGGAGGGACCGACCTGGTGATTTGTGAGGTCTGTTGGAACCCAATTAAATGCAGCATCCTGCAGGGTCTCGCTCCGGTGCGTGCTCCTCCGGTGCTCCATCTTCTCCCTGGTCTTCTCTTCCTCCAACTCTGAGGATGGGAGAGGTGGCCGTTCCCTTTAGTTATCCCCCCACCTTATTGTCACTTATTGCCCTTTTCCTGTCCCCAGCAAGTCATGAACTGGTTAAAATGGGGCACGTGGCACTGCTGGAACTTGGGGTGGGGTGGGGTGGCAAGTTGCCAGGTTCAGGCATATGGTTGGGTTTTATTTTAATGGGGCGCTCATAGATATTTAATAACTTGCATGGCTCTTTGTTTGCTTTTGATAATCGGGTCATAAAATAATTCAGGCTGATTTATACAATGCTTTACAGCTCTGCTGTGAATGAAAGTGCCTTCTGGAACTCGCAGGCATTTGGCTTTGTTACCTGTTCTCCTGAGCAGAGCCCTTTGAGGAGGGGAAAAGAGCACCCAAAATCGAAACTATGGAAAGAATTGTGTGTGAGTTACTGAGGAAGCATGGAATGGTGCCATCCAGGGCAGAGACTGTCTTCTCCAGGCCTCTGTCTCTGTTTGGATGGGGCCGGCGCGGCCGCCTCGGGCTCCCAGATGCTCTTCAGTCCAGATAAATAATAATCCTTTGGCAGAGCCGTAGCAATTCCTCTGGGAGCAGCCCAGTGCTTCCCAAACAATGTGAGCTAATTGGCCTTTCAGTCTGTGGCTGCTTTCCTTGTAGAGTGCTGGAGCCCTGGACATGTCTCTGCCCTCCACCCCAGACATCAAGATAAAGGAGGAGGAGCCGGTAGAGGTGGACTCATCCCCACCAGACAGCCCTGCCTCTAACCCACAGTCGCCACAGAACAAGGAGAAGGTAGGTCTCCTCCACCAGTGCCCCATGGAGATGTTGGCCTCTCCTCTGGATGAGAAGAAGCCTTTTCTCCACGTGGGTGTCAGGGCTGGATTTGGGCTTGTGAGGTGCCACTTGTCTTAGAAAGAAAGAGTAAAGTTTGTTTGCTGAAATACACATTTGCTGCCCTGAAGTCTCCGTGGGGATTTGGCTACTGCAGAAGGTCTTGTGTTCACCCTGGGAGTGCTTTGCTGGCAGGGCAAAAGTGACATACAACTAATGCATCTTCTATGAGGCCAAGACCAACTCCCTGTGTCCTGGAGGGCTGGTGATTCAGAGCAGATTAGTCATGGAATCATGGAATGGATTGGGTTGGAAGGGACCTTAAAGCTCATCCAGTTCCAGCCCCCTGCATAGGCACAGACCCCTTCCACTAGAGCACCTTGCTCCAAGCCCCTGTGTCCAACCTGGCCTTGAGCACTGCCAGGGATGGGGCAGCCACAGCTTCTCTGGGCACCCTGTGCCAGCGCCTCAGCACCCTCACAGGGAAGAGCTTCTGCCTAAGAGCTCATCTCAGTCTCCCCTCTGGCAGGTTGAAGCCATTCCCCTTGGCCTGTCCCTACAGGCCCTTGTCCAAAGCCCCTCTCCGTGTTTCCTGCAGCCCCTTTAGGCACTGGAGCTGCTCTAAGGTGTCACATTATCCATGTGACATCCTCCCTCTGAATAACTTCCCACCCTAGAGATGCTAGCTGGGGCTGGAGCAGTAATTCAAGGAGGGGGATTATTTGCCAGAGGCTGCTGCAGACAGCAGGATCTGAACTGCCATGTCCCACTCCCTGCTCTACCATCAAATCCCTGTGGCTTTGGGTAAGTTGCTCCCCTCGTGCCTCAGTTTCTGTAGCACTAAACTGCTCTTAAGCCATCAGAAGGAAGAGAAAACCAGGTCATTACTACACTGATAACTCACAGCATGTCCACTGCCTGTTGTTCCTCTTCAGGAGATCACCTCCAAGCCTGTCATCATTTCTACACCTACTCCAACCATCGTGCGACCCGGCTCGCTGCCCCTCCACTTGGCTTACGACCCGCTCCACCCTACGCTGCCTTCCCCAACCTCTGTCATCACCCAGGCTCCCCCTTCCAACAGACAGCTCGGGTGAGTGCAGGGGAGCTTCCTCCTGTCCCGTCAGGCTGCCTGGGCAGTAATTAGGTGCCTCAATCAGTTCCTTGATGATCAGAACAACCGAGGGGCTGTGGTGCCCGCTGCGGCTGCTTGGGCATAAGGGCCTCGCTGCAGCACTTGTCTGCAGAAGCAGAATGGGGTGGGAGTGCAGGAAGCAGGAACTAATTGTCTCCGTGTAACGAAACGAGGCAAAACCCACCCCGGGGAGGAATTAGAGCCAGTCCCCCACCATGCTGACATGCCACTTGTTGTCTATGGTGAGAGCAGGGCTTGGCTGGGGACTCCCAGGTTGCTTTTGGAGACTGCCACGGCAGCGGGAGCAGCAAGAGGAAATTGTCTGCCTCTTGTAATGGCTTTGGGACTTTCTCAGGCAGCTGTTGCCTCTGAAGTGTAACCTCTCCTGCAACCTGCTGGCCTCCTCCGTGGTCAGCTCCTGCCTCGGGAGCTGTTTGTTTCGGCACATCTAATGACCTGCTCCTTGTTGCTCCTTTAACAATCTGGAGCCAAGGCTCCAGAGCAGTCGCTGCAGCAGTTACGAGCCCTGTCCCACTGGTGGGTAGCTCCAGCCCTGCACATAAAAGGAAGGAGCCTAAAGGATGCAGGAAACACATTACAGGGAGCCCTCAGGAGACATATATTTAGCTCCGCTTCTATTTGGTGTCAGGATGCATCTTTTTTGCTGTGGTCCTGGCCTCTCTCTAATTACCCTTGTTTGAGGCTGGCTCCTTACATTAACCAGCCCATTTGTTCTGGCTGTCAGTTCATATTTGTATGTATGGTTTTTTTGCTCTGACCCCCTGGCACCATCAATCCCGATTTCCTGATGGAAAGTTTTAAATCCTGTCCTGAGGCATTAAGGGGTTAAGTGATTGTCCGGAGGTTTTCCAAAGGGCATTCTGTAACCCAGCCCAGGCACCGACTCCTGAGGCTGTTTGGAGTCCCCTTGTGCTTCGAGGCATGCAGAAAGCAGAACTGGAGTAAGCTGGACTTGAATATGATTTTATATTCCCCTTGTAGCCCACGGCGGGGGGGGGTCGATCCCTCCTCAGGGATGGGGTTGCAGCTTTGAGTGTCCCTGCGTTGGGGCTGGTGCAGACGTGGCAGGGCTGTCAGCGTGACAGAGATGGAGGGGAGGCTGTGACCTCCCTGTAACTCGCCTTGTTAGGCTGGGATTTTCAAAAGCAGCCTGGAGGATTTGGGATGCCCAATAGAAATGAATGAGAGGCGAGCGTTCGCGTTCCCAAGGCAGCCTTAAAAATTCCAGCCTGAGTTATTGGCACCATGAACTCCCCCCTCCTCTGACCCACAGCTCCTGCTGCTCCCCACCCTGCCGTTACTCCATGCCAGCACAGCTTCCTCAGAGGAGTCAGCCCAACCTCCTCCATCCCCTTTTCATCCTTCCCCCAAAGTCCTGCTGCTCCCAGCAGCTCTGCTCTGCTCTTCCTGGCTCATCTCTGCCTCCATTCGGTTCCCTGCTGCGCTGCTAGGAACGGAGGAGGAGCAGGACATCAGCCCTTGCTGGCAGAGGGATGGTTTCCTTCCTCTCCCTGTCGTCTGGAGCACATCAGCTCCAGCTTTTCCTCTGTTCTCCTAGAAAGGCTGAGTTGGGAGGCTCAGAGCAGGAGCACAGGGAGGTTTTTGATGCTCTGAAGTGCAGGCAGGGAGTGCGTGCTGTTGCCACAGGCAGGAACATTGCATTTCACTGCAGAACAATCTGCAAGGGAAGAATTCTAAGGAATTGTAATCTGTCACAGTTAGGCTCCAGTGGGATCTTCTCCTCCCTCAGGGAGTGGGGCTGTTCCTGTCTCCCAGAGCAGACACAGATCAGCTCTCTCCATCCCACTCTGGGTTTGGGAGGTTTTCACTGGAATCAGATTCAGAAGCGGTTTTTAATGGAAACTAAATCAAAGAATCATGGAATGGGTTGGGTTGGAAGGGACCTTAAAGCTTTCCCAACCCCTGCCACTTGCAGAGACACCTTCCACTGGAGCAGCTTGCTCCAACCTGGCCTTGAACACTGCCAGGGATGGGGCAGCCACAGCTTCTCTGGGCACCCTGTGCCAGCGCCTCAGCACCCTCACAGGGAAGAGCTTGTGCCTAAGAGCTCATCTCAGTCTCCCCTCTGGCAGGTTGAAGCCATTCCCCTTGGCCTGTCCCTACAGGCCCTTGTCCCAAGCCCCTCTCCGTGTTTCCTGCAGCCCCTTTAGGCACTGGAGCTGCTCTAAGGTCTCCCCTTCAGGAGCCTTCTCTTCTTCAGGCTGAACCAGCCCAGCTCTCTCAGCCCCAGGAGATGAATCCCTTGCAAGCCCTCTCCTGGGTGCTCAGCAAACGTGGCTCACAGGACCAGAAGTTCCTGGTAGGCAGGAGCAGCCCAGATCCCGTCTGCTTGGTGCAAGGCTCAGCCCATGAGGACACTTCTCATCTCTCCAAGGAGGAGCTGCAGCAGCTCTTGGCTCTGCTTTTCTGTCTGTTCAGGTGGACACTGTGCCTCAGCCAGCATATTTTACCCAGCCTATGTACACCCAGGGGCACATCATATCTCAGGGCCACCCACATCATTGCCAGCCCCTAGTGAGGAGCAGCAGCTGGGATCACCCCAGGGAAGGGAAATGGGAAAAAGAGCCCAAATCTGCTAACCAGAATGAACTTGTGCTTGTGCCCTTGAGCTCGGGGGGCTGCCGGGACAGCATAAACTTGAAGCCATCCGTGTGAACTCCAACTGTTGTTTCTGCAGGTCTCCCACAGGATCCCTGCCCCTTGTCGTGCAGCTTGCAAATGGACAGACCATGCCCGTGCTCCCAGGCCCTCCCGTGCAGATGCCTTCTGTTATATCGGTGAGAGAAGCTTCCAGCACAGCCCTGCATGGCAGAGGAGGGGACAGCGTTTTGCTCCTGCCAAATAGATGCAGACGCTTCCCATTTTGTCAGCGTTAAAATATATCTCCCCCTCTGTGCAAGATAAGGCTTGGAAGAGGAGGAGGAGGGGGGCAGCTCTGGCAAGGCAGCAATAGCACGTCCATCACACTAGAGGGCAATAAGTCTGGAATAAAACAAAGCTTTGCCCGGACAGATGGCTCATGCCATTGATCCAGAGCTGGGAACTGCAGGATCCCTGATTAGCTGCTTCCATTTGGAACAGTGTACCTCAATTGAAAGCATTGGAGCTTGCAGAGAACATGTTGGTTTTGCAGGCTAGGAAAGCCACCCTAGCTTTGCCAATGGGCTAAAGAGCTGTTGGAATATCAGCCGTGAGGGGTGTGCTTTTCCATACGGAGACTTTTCCATGCTGCAGAGCTCAGGAGCAGATTTGCCTGGTGGGTGGGTGCCTTGTCCCTCTTCTGAGTGCTTCAGCTCCTGACCAGGCAGCCCATGTGGATCCTGCCTGTCCTGCTGGGCATGTAACGGCCAAAACCTCCTGCCTCAGGTAACAGGAACGTTGATGTCAAAGCAGGCAGATGCGCAGGCAGCTCAGCTCAGCTTGTGGGCATGGAAACATCTTCAAACCTTCCTGTTTGTTTGAAACACACCTTGTGTTTTGTAGGATCACAGTTGTGGAATGGTTGGGTTGGAAAGGATCTTAAGATCATCCAGTTCCACCCCCTGCAATGGGCAGGGACCCCTTCCACTAGAGCAGCTTGCTCCAAGCCCCTGTGTCCAACCTGGCCTTGAACACTGCCAGGGATGGGGCAGCCACAGCTTCTCTGGGCACCCTGTGCCAGCGCCTCAGCACCCTCATAGGGAAGAACTTGTGCCTAAGAGCTCATCTCAGTTTCTCCTCTGGCAGGTTAAAGCCATTCCCCTTGTTCTGTCCCTACATGTAGTGCTTTACAACAGCACACCTGAGTGGCTCATAAAAGCAAGTGCATACTCTGTTTTTTCCCCTCTTTGTGGAGGCAGAAAGCTTTGTGCAGGGATGCTCTGCCTTACCCTTGGTGTTGTGGCTGCTTTGCAGTAGAGCTGTGCTGAGATCTGGAGGGGATCTAATACCCTCCCACTGTATCCGCCTTCCTGTGCTGGTGGGGAAAAGCCCTCTGGGAGGGAAGGGAAAGGAAGGGAAGGAAAGGAGGCTTTAGAGCTGCCCTCCTCCTGTCCTCAGTGGTTGGGATGGCTGGGTGATTCTGAAACAGGCACCATGGCCACCAAAGGAGTGGCTGCTGGCCTTCAGTGACAGCAGCAGGAATTGATGGCAGCAGTTAAAGGCTGTGCCTTTGTCAGGCTTTATAAATGGGCTCAGTTGGGGAATTATGACAGAGCTGCTTCACGGAGCGCGGCCTGAAAGCCCCTGAGCTTCCAATCCCCTCGTGTTGCTTCCTCCCCGATAGCTGGCTCGGCCGATGTCCATGGTGCCAAACATTCCCGGGATTCCTGGGCCGCCCATCAACAGCAGCGGGTCCATTTCCCCGTCAGGACTTCCAGTGCACTCTGAAGCCAAAATGGTAAGTGTTTGAATCCATGCTGGGGAGGGCATCACGTCCCTGGTGTTGTCCCCGAGTCTTCAGTGGCTTCTTGGAAATCCTGCCGAGCCATCAGAGCATCTTCCCATTCCAGGAGCAGGTGTTGGAAATGCCACCAGGAATATCAGGCTCATCAGCACTGCGGCTCTGGCAGGCAGAGGAGGCACGTTGTTGTCAGGGCAAACGTCAGCCCCATCCTAAATGCGCCTGTTTAGTTCTAGTTCCAAAATAACAGATGGATTGGAGGTGGGCTTGAGGAAGGCAGAGCCAAGAGAAGAGATGTTGCGCTGTAATCCAAGGATCCTGGGAATGGCTTTCATGTAAATCCCTTTCAAAGCTTATGAAAGAGTTTTCCTCTCTTGGCTCTTCATGACTCAGGCAAGGTGGAAGAAGAGGGGGGAGCAAACCCAGGCCAGGTTGGATGAGGCTTGGAGCAGCCTATTCTAGTGGGAGGTGTCCCTGCCCATGGCAGGGGCTTGGAACTGGATGAGCTTTCAGCTCCCTTCCAACCCAACCCATTCAGTGATTCTCTGATTCTGTGACACCCCCCACCCCCCCCCTCCGATTTTTTGGCCTGGATGGGGTGGAGCTGTTTGCAAACCCACCTCTTAGAGCTGCTCACTGTTGTCACTGCTCCCACTGCACCCTGTTTTGGTGTCTGCAGGATCCAGGTGCAGATCAGAGCTACAACGCTGAGGCATAGAGGAGCCATCCTGCCCCACTGGCCTGTATCTGGCTGCTCTGGCTGCTTGCAAGACATGGTCTCAATCATGTGTAGGTCCTTCTCCATCCCAGAAGGACCCTTCTGCGGGTGATGAAGGACAGTTGGGCTCTGCAGCCTGTTCAGTCCATGGTCTGTCTGCAGATCCTGCCAGCTGGGAGTTGACTGGTGCCAGCTGCAGTAGTAATTTTGGGATGTGGACACCTGTCTGCTTGGGTCTAAGCTGAAAGCTGCCTTTGGGAAGGCCAGATGGTGATGGCTTTCGGTTGGATTTGAATCAGCCACATTCTCTGAAGAGCCCAATCCCCATCACTCCTGGGGTGATAGAGGAGCCGGTTAAAGCCTTCACAGCATGGAGAACAGGTCTCCTGATGTCCTTTTTCCTCCTTTAACAGAGGCTGAAGGCCAGCTTGGCGGCGTCTTCCTCACTGAACGGCAGCAACCTGGTGGTGGGCTCAGCCAGCACGATGGTGACCGCACGTCCGGAACAGAGTCAGATCCTTGTCCAGCACCCTGATGCCCCTTCCCCAGCTCAACCACAGGTCTGCTGCTGCAGGGCTGGAGCTGCTGGGGTGTTCCTGGGCCTTGGGGAAGGCAGGGGAAAACCTTGTGGCTTCCTGTTTTGCAGAATGGGTTAAAAAGCCTTGTTTTTCAGTGCTGCTAATGCTCTCCAACACCACCAGGCAGCAAACTTCAGCAACACGTCCATTTGCTTGACAAGGTCTGGAGTTTGGAAAGAATATTTTCGCTCTCTTCTCTCTGCTCAATTACTGGGGTTAAATGCTCCCCTCTTAGGCAATCAGCTCCAGTAGCTCCTGCCAGCTCACCAAATGCCAGCTTTCCAGCAGGATCGCCACCTGCTCCATCAGTTAGATAGGCTTCCAAAAGTTTAATATCCATATGCTGCCTGACAGCGAGTACCCGAGTGGAGCTGCACTCCCTGATTGTGGTGGTGTAATTACAGAGCCCTCGCAGAAGCACCAGCAAGGTTGTGCCTTTGCCCTCCCTGACTTTTCCCTTTGTTCTCCCCATATCAAAGCAGGAAATGTGTCGCTTTACTTGTGCCAGTTGCCTCTGAGAGCTTCTTTAGCTGGAGGTATCCAGGGCAAATTGAACCCAGCTTCATTCTGAAAGCAGATGATCCACTCCCAAGCTGGAATTTGTTTGTGCTCTGTGGATGAGTTACTGAACCCAAGTGGAGACAGAGCTTGGACCCGTGCGTGGTTGCGTGCGTCAGAGTGGGATTGAGTGCTCCCAGCCCTGCAGCTGGATGTCACCCTCTGGCAGCTGATCCCTGAGCCCTGCCCATGTGGGAGTCCCCAAAGTGCTTTTAAAACTCTCTCTAAGTGAAGTCAAAAGGAAGGTGGTTTCTCTGTGTGGTCATTTACCACCTTAGCTCCTTGGCATGGAGGGGAGGAAACTCCTGCTCTTGGTTACGTGCCGTTAGGTGACTGTAGGAGTTTGGGATTTAACTAATTCCCTGACATTCACCCATTCACTGGCTTCAGGATCCCAGAGAGTTCGTTTAGGAAGTTTGCAGACTCCACTGAGGAAGGGCTGCCAGAAACACCTGGGAAAGGCTCTTTAGAATCATAGAACCAACCAGATTGGAAAACAGCTTTAAGCTCATTAAATCCAACTGTTCCCCAGCACTGCCAAGGCCACCACTAATCCGTGGCACTGAGGGCCTCATCTGCACAGTGTGTCAGCACTTGCAGGGATGGTGACTGCAGCCCTGCCCTGGGCAGCCTGTTCCAATGCCTGAGCACCCCTGGGCTGGGTTTGGAATTGTTCCTTATCTCCATCTAAACCTGTCCTGGTGCAGCTTGAGGCCGTTTCCTCTTGCCCCATCCCTTGGGAACAGAGCTCAGCCCCCTCCTGGCTCCATCCTGCTGTCAGTGAGTGATCAGGTCCCCCCTGAGCCTTCTCTTCTCCGAAACCCCCTGTCCCTCAGCCGTTCCCCATCACCCCTGTGCTCCAGGCCCTGCACCAGCTCCGCTGCCCTTCTCTGGCCCCGCTCCAGCACCTCAATGTCTCTCTTGTAGTGAGGAGGTCAGAGCTGTCCATCCTTCCTCTGTCCATCCTTCCCTTCCCTCACAGCATCCTCTCATTGCTCCACAGCTCCTCACCAGTGGGAGCTGATGGTGATTGGGGTCAGATCAGAGGCCCTGTCCTTTCACCTGCGTCAATCAGTGCATTTTACTCCGAAACCCCAGCAATCAGCCTCAGCAATCCACCTCACCTGGTTGAGCTCTTGCTGCCTACAAAGCCTGGTGCTGAGCCCATCCATGGTCTTTAGCCCTGTGAGTTTGCCATCCCTCCTCTTTGGCGGTCTCTTGCCCTTTTCTGGCCCTGCTCCAGCACCTCAATGTTTCTCTTGCAGTGAGGGCTCAGAACTGAACTTTATCCCCAGCTCCCCTGTCTGCCCTCGCTCCATCACTGCACTGGGCAGCTCTGGCTGCTCTGCAGAACCAGATCTCTTTTAACGCCGGTCTCCTCTGCCAAGCCTGGTTGTGCTGCTGTGTGCCTGCCTGCCCTTCAACATCTCTTTCACCACCAGGTTTCCCCAGCCCAGCCCACCCCCAGCACCGGCGGGCGGCGGAGGCGCACGGTGGATGAAGACCCGGATGAGCGCCGGCAGCGGTTCCTGGAGCGGAACCGGGCAGCAGCCTCCCGCTGCCGTCAGAAACGCAAGCTCTGGGTGTCCTCCCTGGAGAAGAAAGCTGAGGAGCTCACGACCCAGAACATCCAGCTGAGCGTGAGTATGTAACCGAGGCTGAGCACAGCCCCTTGCCAGCGTTAGGACCGTCACCCCGCAGGGAGCGGCTTCCCCCGTGCTGCGGGGACAGCGTGCTGCTGTCTGGAACAGGAGTGCTGCCTCTAGATTTCATGGAAGGATTTGGGTTGGAAGGCACTTTAAGCTCATGCAGCTCCAACCCCCTGCCACGGGCAGGGACACCTTCCATTAAAGCAGGTTGCTCCAAGCTCCTGTGTCCAGCCTGGCCTTGAACACTGCCAAGGAAGGGGCATCCAAACCTTCTCCATTCAACCCATTCCAGTGCCTCACCACCCTCATGGGGAACAGCTTGTGCCTTACATCTAACCTGAACTTTGCCTGTTTGAACCCATCACCCCTTGTCCTGTTGCTACAGTCCCTGATGAAGGTCTCTCTTCAGCATCCTGAGTGCAGGACTGCAGAGGGGTCTCCCCAGAGCATGGCAGAGGTGCAGGATCCCATCCCTGAGCTGCTGCTCATACTCTGGGGGTGCAGCCCAGCACACAGAGGGAAGCTGGGCTCAAGCACACACTGAGGCCAGGTCATGGGGAGCTTCTCCTCACCCACCACCTTCAACAAATCTCACTCCTTGCTTTCCATCCTGATGCTCTGCTTCGAGCAGGCCATGGGGGAAGAGCTCTTCAGTGCTCTGGTTTCTCTCCCTGTCCCCTCAAATGGGCTCTGCCCATCAAGGCAGCAACACCAGCCTCAGGAGCAGGGCACGGGGGCCCCAGGAAGCAGCTTCCCTGCATAAGGGAGAGCTCTTTACTGGCATGGGGTCAGCAAAAGCAGCCTTGCTTCCCTTCCCTGCACAGAGGACCTGGCACCAGGGTGAGCAGCGAGGCTCTGCAGCCACACTGCTGCTTTTTCCTGGACAATGGGGTTTTCCTGGTTCTGCAGCAGCACCCTGGTGTTCCTAACAGAAGTGTAGCCCATGTAAAATACAGACTTCACTTCCATTGCTGTCAGCCCCCTTGTTGATGCTAAGGATTGAAGGGTCTGCAAAGACTGAGCTGGGGTCCGTTCTGGTGGCTTATGACTCATGTGCTGGGATTTTCAATAGCACTGATCGTGGTATTTTCATTCTCTTCCCAAGATAATTATAGACATTGTTTCCTCAGGCAGTTTTGAAATACAATTGACTTCATTCCAGCTGGTTCTCCAAACATCTCAGCAGAGGAATAACACACTTGCACAAAGTCTTCAGGGCAGCAGGTCTGCTTTACAGACGAAGCCCACAGAGGTACCGAGAGCTTGGAGGAGCTCTGATGTTCCCCAGGGCTTGGCATGGCCTGAGTTGGTTTTACACTCAGCTTCTCACTCTGTTTAGTTTTCCATCAGAGCCAGCAGCATTTGCAAGAGGAATCAGGCAAATGGATGTCCAGGATTAGGTGATTAACATAGCGAGGGGCTGCTGGAGGGAAATGTGTGTTCATGTCTTACACACTAGATTCCCCAACCCCAAAACCACTGTTTGGTGTTCCTGGGCTGGAGACATCTCAGGTTAGACAACACATTGTGAATTGGTGGGGAACATTCATGCATGTCCTGCTAGAGGCTGTTGCCAAGAGCATGAGTGATGCACACGTGTGTGTTTGTTTTCCCATCCCAGAATGAAGTTACGCTACTGAGGAACGAAGTTGCTCAACTCAAGCAGCTCCTGCTGGCTCACAAGGACTGCCCCGTCACTGCACTACAGAAGAAGACACAGGGCTATCTTGGTGAGTGGTGGCTTTTGCTGGTCCTTCCTGCCTTTTAAGTAGGTCTAAACAGATGAAATGTGTAGCACACAAAGGAAGGGAGTTTTCATCTTAGTCTCTGCTCCATCACCTTCCAACTGCAGCGGGTGGCAGGACAGGATAGACCTTGGTCCTGTGTTTTCTGCTCTTATGGCCTTTAAAGCCTCACTATTAAGGAGGAGCCACCCCATGCTGGAGCTTCGAATTTCCACCAGGTTAACCTGGTTTATAGCATCTTGCAACCAGGCAGAAAGGGCCACAGTGGTGTGAAAGCACTGTGGGAAGGAGATAGCTCATTTCCTTCCCATCTCTCTACTGCGGGATACTTGACAAAGATCCTAGATAGAATCACAACATGGTTTGGGTTGGAAGGGTCCTTAAAGCACATCCAGTTCCAACCCCCTGCCACGGGCAGGGACCCCTTCCACTAGAGCAGCTTGCTCCAAGCGCCTGTGTCCAACCTGGCCTTGAACACTGCCAAGGATGGGGCAGCCACAGCTTCTCTGGGCACCCTGTGCCAGCGCGTCAGCACCCTCACAGGGAAGAGCTTCTGCCTTAGAGCTCATCTCAGTCTCCCCTGGGGCAGGTTAAAGCCATTCCCTTGTCCTGTCCCTACAGGCCTTTGTCCAAAGCCCCTCTCCAGGTTTCTTGTAGCCCTTTTAGGCACTGGAAGACTGCTTCTCCCTGGAGTGTAGGCCAGCATCTCTCCACCCACTCCCAGGCAGCCTGCCAAGCACTTGATATCCTCTTTGAAGTGAAAAACTATTGCTGCTCTGAAAGCAAAGCCAGAGTCAGAAAAGGCCAGACTCTGTAGATGACATCATGGGGCTCTAGATCTCCTTCTCTGCAATTCCCATCAAATTAGCGGAGGTTTGGGGGTAAGAAGCCTCTTTTTATCTTCTTTTCTTTCTTTCATTTTTTATATTGCTGCCTATTTCATTATAATCAACCCAGGAGCTAAACATTATGTCTGGATTCTTATGTCATCTCTGCAATAACAATCCCACACTGGGGGATTTGCAGAAAGGCTTTGGGAGGATGCTGGGGTCCCCTAGCGTTGCCTGGATTAACGCAGGGATGGATGGAGAGAGGAAAAGGAAGGAGGAGACAACAAAAGCCAGGAAAGCCGGCACTGTCCTTCCCGACTGCCTCCCCATTCCCACCTCCTGGCTCTCTGAAGCACTCTCATGTGCAGTGAGGCACACATACGTGTTGTACAGGGGCACAGCCAGTTTATTTTCCCTCATTACAGTGACTCAGAGCTTGAGTAATGTGGTCGTGAAGCTCCTCGCTGTCCCCCAGCCCTTGCAGGCAGGTGTATAATGCAGAGAGGCAACATGATTTTTCCTGTTAACTCCCCAAGTTTACAGTTCCTATTATTATTCCTCACAGTCTGTCTACTCTAATAATAGGAATCCATCACACATCTGAATAATAAAAAGGAAATTCGCCCCCCCCATCCCTGGCTGCCTTTTTTATTAGTGAGATTTGTGACTAAACAGGTCCTTAAACAAAAATGCCAGATTCCCTCGATGGAATTACAGCTGCCTCATGTACAGTTGGGTTGTTTTATTTGTAATACCTTGTAAATCTGCTTTTGGGGGATGCCAAACTCTTCTGTTGCTCTGCTCGACCTTCCCTCATCACTGAGTCAGTTTTCAGCTGTCTGCTTGGCTGGTGAAGGCTGAGCCAAGGTTCCAGCAGGTAAAACCCACTTGGGAAAGGGGTCCAGTATTCTGGCAGTGCTCAAGGCCAGGTTGGACACAGAGGCTTGGAGCAAGCTGCTCTAGTGGAAGGCATCCCTGCCTGTGGCAGGGGCTGGAGCTGGATGAGCCTTAAGGTCCCTTCTAACCCAACCCATTCCATGACTGATTCAGGCACCCAGTAGAAATCCGGGCCCTAAAGAGCATTTCCCAGTTCACAATAAGGTTTATAAACCTCTGCTTTGACTTTCTTTCCCCTCCGTGTCATGGGATTTACCATCTTGACGTGGAAGAAGTATCCCACCTCATGCCATTATTTTGCTCTTTTAAAGGAAGGTGACCGCATCTTACCTGTAATTCATCTAGCCAAGTACACAGGAGGGAATTTCCTCCTGACATGTGTGGGTAATGAGTGTATACCCCTAAAGAGAGAGGTCTGATTGCTCTCGCCTTGGCGTTTGATAGGTCACAAATTACCCTTTGTGTTTGAAGCTCTGCACAGGGGCACAAGGGGCTGTTTGTGGGAGGGAATCCAGAGTGGTGGCACACCGATCCACATCGCTTGGAATGGAGCGCAGGAGAAGCTCTCTGCCTCCCATCCCTTCAACTGCTTCAGGTTAGGCAAAGAAATGGAGCAAGGAAACAGTTTGTGATGGGCTCTAATTGATTTTAATGTTCTAGAGGACAATAAAGAGCAAACCAGGTAATTTCTATTAAAAACGGCCCAAAAAAGCCCTGCTTTACAGAAGGGTTTCAGTGCACGTTTACCCGTGTGCTCACCAACAGATGGCAAAGCCTCTGAAGGAGCTATTGAGTCTCTGGGCTAAATGGCCTTGAACCAAGTACCATGCCAGGAAACAACATGTAGGAAAGTTCATTTCTTCTAATGAGGAAACAGATTTATTACACTAAAGGTTATGCAGGGTCTGCTTGTCCTTGGTGTGCAGCTTTATGCCTTCCTGGCCTCAGTTCAGGAAGATTTGCTGGTGGTTCACCAAGGGATGGGGCCAGCAGGACCCGCCGGGTCGTTATGTCCCAACTCTAATCAGTTTTATTTCCAGCCCTCCCTTGCTTTTGCCAAACAGCTGCTTGAGGAGGGGCCTGGCTTGGTGGGAGGAGCTGGGATTCCTGCAGGGATTGGCCTCTCTGCTCCAGGCTGGGAATTTCAAGGCCAGGTTTAGATGGGGCTTGGAGCACCCTGCTCTAGCGGAAGGTGTCTCTGCCCGTGACAGGGGTTGGAGCTGGAGGAGCTTTAAGGTCCCTTCCAACCCAAAGCATTCCGTGGTCCTCTGATTCAGTGAAAGGTGAGCGTTGAGTAAATCCCTGAGTGATTTCTGCACACGCTTTGAAGCAGGAGCGATCTCCCATCCCACCGCCTTGCCGCTACCACCCGGCGGCAACACGCTCACCGTCTCTGTAACCTGATTTTCTCCTCTTTTCCTTCCATCCCTTTCTCCTTGTCTGGCCAAGCAGAAAGCCCAAAGGAGAGCTCGGAGCCCACGGGCTCCCCTGCTCCCGTGATCCAGCACAGCTCCGTGACGGGCTCTCCCAACGGGCTCAGCGTGCGCTCGGCAGCAGAAGCCGTTGCCACCTCGGTGCTGACGCAGATGGCGAGTCAAAGGACAGAACTGAGCCTGCCGGTCCCGTCACACGTCATCATGGCCCCACAGTCCCAGTCTGCTGGCAGATGATGTCCCAGCCTGGGGCGTGTGACACGGAGCTCCCCGCCGACACCGAGCGCACCCGTGGCCCTGCCGCCTCGGGGGAGATGAGGAGGATTTGTATTTCTTGCCTTCTTTTGAGTCTTTGCAAGCGAGCGGAGGGCAGCCGTGGTGCTTCTCACGCTGCACAGCCTGTACAGACCCTGCCCGGCCACCGCCTGTCCCCACGGGGACGGCCTCACCTCTTGGGGTTGGCAACCTGTCAACACGCAGAGCTCACTTGGAAAAGCACCTTGAAAGGTTCGCTTTCAGGTCTCACATTAACACTAAACCTCCATGCTCAGTGCATCCCCTTGGCGCTTTTCACTCTTCCAAGTCTCCCCTTTCTCCCTCCTCCTCCTCACTCCCAGCAAAGGAAAACAGCTCTTGGGAGGCTGTGACATTTAGTCGTGCTGTCAATGTATTTTATTTTTAACAGCATGCTGCTTCCAGGCATCTGCTCCCCCCTCTGCTCTCGCTACCTGAAACATTGCACCTTCGCACAAGAAGCCTCCCTGAGCTCTGAGGTTAAAGGGATCGAGGTTTGGTTCCTCGCACGCTCACTCCCAAGATGCCAGCAACAGGTTTTTGGACACGTTGGGAATGGAATTGCCATAAATCAGTTTGTGCCCAGTGATTGGGAGAGGGGGGACACGGGGCTGGGGACACACACACGTGTTCCCGGTCGCTTGTGCCACCCCGGGAGCTGCAGACGTTCATGGATGCTCTCGTACTGGGATGCTGTGGTTGCTGGAGTAAAGGTACCGGCTGGTTTAGCAGCAGAGGGGCTGCTCTCAGTCTTCCCTACAGGAATTGGTGCTGCTCTGTGCCCGCTGGGACCGGTGCAAAGGTGCTCTGGGAGGTGCACGCAAGGATGAGCCGTCCCAGCAGGCAGGGATAAGCCAAGTCCCAGAATTCATCAGCTGCCCCCAACTCCACTACAGAGAAATCCCTCCATTTCCAAGGATCATCTCCTCTACATGTAAACTCCATGACCTTAACGATGGTGGCCTTAACTCATGAATCAGTTGCCTGTTCCAAGGGAGGGAGCACGATGCAGTGTTTCTGTTTGCCTGGGCTTTTACCTCTTCTTCATGATTCTCTTCCGCTCTTGGTGACGGAGCATCCGTCGCTTCCCAGCCGGAGCAAAGGAAGAGCAGAGCTTCCAGTTTCATGGGCTGGGTTAAAACCCCAGCCTGGATGTTGAAAGATGCTTGGAATCGGGTCGGTTTTGGGGTGTGTGTGTGTGTGTCTGTGTCTGTGTTGCGCTTCCCGAGGCAGCAAGCGACTGGAATCGGGCGTTTGGAAGCGGGAAGGGGTGCTCCGTGCGCTCGGGCTCGTGGAAGGAACCTCACCAAAGTCCATGGAGCCGCAGCAGGCCTTGGTCTTCCTCTCCTCCTCCTCGGGAGGTCCCTCCTCACCTGAGCTCTCGCCCACCTCAGGTTGCACTCGCCACTTTTGAGCCAAGTTGGTGGTCAAAGTGATTGCGTTTGGCTTCTCCACACTTGGAAGGTTCCCAGGGACAGCAAAACCCAAAGCGTGGTCTGAGCAAGAAACCAGATCCCGTTGGGGATGGGGGCAGCTCGGCCGTTGGTGTTTCTCATCGATGGGATCTGTCTCCCTGCCCCTTCTTCCCTCTTCTTCAGGTTCTCCTCACCTTGGCAGTGTTGGCCACGGCGGGTCTGGGTTTGGTTGCTTGATGCTGCTCTCGTGCTCCTTTGGCTCCTCTTGCTTCCAGAGCTGTCTCATGCCGAATCGGGGTCACTTCCGGCCTTGGCAGTTCTCATTCCCGGTTCAGATCCTTCACAGGCCTCCCTTGGACCCTCTTTTTGTTTCTGGAAAGCTGCTTCTGCAGAGTCTGTGCCCCGATATTTCAGCTCTTCCTATCCCAGCGTTGTTGCGTTGCTGCAGTGGGGGTTCAGGATGTCTTAGCACCCTGAGACCTGGGCAGAAAGAGGTTTCAGCCAGGCCAGGGCTCAGGAGCTGCATGGGATGGGCAGGATCGAAAGGCAGAGGGTTTTGCAGGACACAGAAGATCCAGCCTGGCTCTGGCTCCTCTCCTGGGGCTGCTGGTGGATGCGGGTTGTAGAGCTGTGACAGGGAGCAGCAGAAAACCCCATCTATAACCTGCTTTGGTCTTGGGATGTGCTCAGTTTGCTTCAGGGGGGGTGGAAGAAGCGCCTTTATTTCCCTGGCAATAGCAGGAATGACAAAAATGTGTTCTAAACATATTTGCTTCCTTGAATCCCTGTTCTTTGGTGTGCAGTGCTCCGGGCGCAGCGGCTGGGTCCCACCGCAGCTCACCAGCTCCTCCTAGGCTCGGCAGGAAAACCCCGTCTGGCCAGGGATAAGGGTGATGGAAGGCAGGGAAGAAGCAGGAATTGGGCTTGTGGCTCATCCTGCCGCTGGTGCCTTGTTTGCTTCGTGGTGTTGGGGCCGGTTGGATGAGGCAGAGGTGAGGGGGTGGTTAGGGAAGAGGCAGCAGATGGGGACAGGGCCGCACAGGGCAGCGCTGGCGTCGAGTGCAGCAGCTTCCCCGGCCCTTAATGTTGCCTTTAGGGACTAAAAGTGACCCCGTTTCCTGTGGTGGGAGAGCAGAGATCTCAGACACTGCTGGTGATGAATGGGGACTCAGAGAGTGGCTCTTCCCCCTGTGCCCTGTGCTCCCGATGCCGTCGGTGCTCCCCTGTCTCTCTGTGCTCCCCTGCTTAGTGCCTTGGAAAACCCCCACATCCATGGAAACACCATTGTAAAGCTCCACACCTGGGCAGGGAACAAGTGTCGACCAAACCTTGATGGTTTCCTTCCTTTCATCGACAGGGTTCCAGCTTTCTGTGTCCTTTTTGGGGGTGTTTTAACCCCAAAGCATCCGATACCTGAATCACTGCTGTGGGAGCAGGTCCCGGAGCAGGGTTGGGGTCTTGCCAACAGCATCCCCGCAGTGGGGAAGGCAACCAAAAGCCCAGTGTGACCCTTTGCTAACGCATCTCCCCCCAGCCAGCAACTGGTTGGAACCGTGTGATCCCATCCCAGTGTGATGGATGGGCTTCCCAAGCCATAAATGCCACTTTGGAGCACATGGGGTGAGGTTCATCCTTGTTGTGGTCGCAGAAGCTGATGCTGAGCCAGACCCAAACCTCAGGAGCTGAATGTCACTGGTGGCTGTTGCTTTCCCAGTGGGATGGGCACGCTTGGGTGCCTCTTTCCAGGCTCTCTACTGTGTTCTCCTCTCCTGGATCATGCCTGTGCTGATCCCAGGGAGCTGATGGGCTCCGAGCGCTTCCAGCAGCTCCAAAGAGCCGAAGGGCTGCTGGGTTCTTGCCCTGCATCAGCCTCTCCTTCCTCATCACGTCTCTGTGAGGTTCCTTCTCCAGGCTGTAGGTGGAGAGGGCAGGTTTTGGCTTTGGGGGTGGTTTTGGGTGTAAGGTGGCCTTTCCAGCCAGTTTGGTGGTGCAGGCTCCCCCTGGACCCATGGTGATGGGAGAGGGTGAAGGCGTTTTCCTCTCCTCCTGGTTCAGCTCTTGCTTGAAGGCGTTCAGGGCAGGAAGCCCCACTGCCCTCTTGCTTTGTGCTTCAGGGTGATTCCTCCTGCTCTTCACATGCTCCCAAGGGATGGAGCACCCCAGGCCCTGCTCTTTGCCTTAGCTTAGGTTCACCCAGCACCATCCATCCCTCCTCCGTGGCCCATTTGATGTGACCCTGGGGCTCTGCCAGGAGTTTGAAGCCCACGTTCTGGTGGTGATGGGGAGGTAGGGAGACCCCCCAAAGGTGGCACCAGCCACTGGGATTCATTGTCCTGGTGAATAGAAATGGCTGAGCCCCACATCCCAGAGTGGTCATTCCCCAGCTGAACCCTGGGAATGCTCCTTCTTTCGGGATTAGGGAGGTTTTGGGATCGGTGCCCCTTTTCCTCCTTGGTTCTGGATTGCGATGGCTCAGCAGATGCAGTCAGTGTTGGACTTCATGGACCCGTTTCGCTCTGGTTCCCCCCCCCCAACTTCCACGCCCTGAAACAAGCCCAGGAGGTGACAAAGGGACACGAGGGTCCCTGGGAGGGGGGAGGAAGGTCTGGGGTGTCCCTTTGCCCCCCCCACGCTGCTTCCTTTGCCGAGCTTCCATGGGAGAAGCCAAGAAAAAGGACCCCCCCCCCCCCCCCCGAGGGTGTAGTATCTATGAAACCCCACGTATCTATTGAGTATATACAGCCCTATATAGACGTATAAGCAACTTCCCAAGCGGATGCGCAGCTCCTTATGGTTGTTCCAGCTGTAACCCCCTTGCCGCGGTGCCCCCCCACCCTGTGAGCGGGTCCTCACAGCCCCCTGGGGACACGGGGACACACGGGGGGGACACGTCTCGTACCAAACATGTAACGTGCCTTTTATTTATGCTGCAAATATAACATTAAATATTACCCAGGAGCCGGCGCCTGCTGCCCTTTGCTTCAGGGGAGGTGACCTGGGTGCGGGGGGGCACCCGTCGGGGGGATACAGGGTTGTCACCCACTTGGGTGATGCTCTCAGTCCTCCTCGGGGGCACCGTGGGGTTGTGACACCATCCAGCCATAACTTGGGGTACCGCGGGGTGGCAGCCGGTGAACCTGCTGGGGGGAGGGGGGGGGAACGGGACTCACGGTGGTCCGGGGCACCCACGGGCAGATTTGGGGCGATTTCCGCTTGTTTTGGGGCAAAGGGAGCGCGAGAAACACGCGATCTGTGTGTCCCGTCGGGGCTGCAATAGCGCAGCGCGGCCACACGGTGGCGGAGATGAGCCGCGGTGGAGAAGAAGGGGGGACCGAGAGGGGACCGGGATGGTTGAGGGGGTGCAGGGGCAGGGTCCCTGTCCTGGGGTCCCTGGTCGGGGATTGGGATCAGCGAGGGGGGGGTCCTGACTTTGGGGAGTCCCGGTCTGAGGAGGGGATCCCGGGATTTGGGGGGGGTCTCTCGGTCCGAGCAGCCCCGGTAGTGCCGGTTGAAGGTCCCAGGCGGGGGATGCGGAGGGGCCCCGGTCCATTTGTCATCATCCGCCCATCA